CTGATCTTTCTTAATGGAGTTTGTAGGACGCTGATGGTCCCATCAGTACAAAAGCTGTCAGGAGTTATGTATAAAGTAAATAAATTGTGTTTATAAGCTTTTAAGATTTCGTGAAAATGGCGTCAATATGTGGTGTCACAGTTTTAGAAAACGAACGCTACAGAAATCCTTCACGACTCAGCGAAAAGTTAGAAGAAGGGGAGGATTCATCGATGGTACACAAGGAAATATGAAACCGGTTTGCACATCGATAAAACCAGGACGCTAGAATTGCGTACTATCAAAAACTGCAAATTCAGCAAAGACGGCTCTTTCTTCAAAAATCCTAATTCGCTGAGCAACTCTAATGAAACGCTGCCCTACTATAGCAAAAGTAGCTAGAACACAAATGACGTTGTAATGCCAAACATGGGAAGGCAAATTGAATTATGATACAGGGTAGACAAGAGCCATGCCAAGTATTCTCACGGTTTTCAAGGACGGTACGTCTTCGAAAAGACACGTCGATGGGTCCTACAAAAACGTGAAATTTCCTTCATGTGGTGGGTAGGTAGAGAAGTACTCGGGGTCGAAGAAAATCTTAAGGTGCCACAGTACTATCCAACCAGTCATTCTGACTTCTTTGACACATCACAGCACTGATCCAGCTCAATTCTCTGACTTTTTAGTAACACCATGCACTTGGCTGAGCTCAATCCACTGAAGGTCGGATATATCGGATCCGTTTTCAGTCGCGAGGAAAGGTTCCTTGAAGATACTGAAGAGGACAACAGTCTGAGGGCGTTATTCATCTGGAAAACCTATTTTCATCGGTGACAGGGCTCTTGGCCTACGAAAGTGGAAGAATTGTGGCTCCTGAAGGCTTTCTTAGTCTAGAAAATGGGCCTTATTAAGAGGAAAGAAATGTAGAGAATCTGACAAGTAGGATTTCTTCTACAAACTATGATTCACTCAACTTTCAGTGAGAGAAAAAAGTCTCATGAAAGCTGTATCTCTGCAGTGCAGAAAGTGAACTATCAATTATGATCAAAACTCCATGACAGTCAACCAAGAGTGCGCGACAACAAAAAGCTAAGAAATGAAAAGCCTAGAAAGTGGCAGAACAGCAATGACAAGCTACTCTGAAACCAAGCAGCATCGAAGAAGTCTCTGAACAGCAGACTATCTCAGGGCACGAAACGGTTAAACCAATGTGATCGTAGGTAAAAATGTTCAGCCAAGCACTTTGCGACACGACCGTCACCCTAGGTAGGTTTAGTAGAGGGCACTTGATGCTATGACGGAAGAACAGGACGACGACTCTTACGAGCTAATCCCAATTAGTTTGAAAGTTGACCGATGTTCCTCACATCCGGTTTGAGAAACATACAGTCAGTGTAAATTAACCGTCACATTCGAGGCGAATGACATTCGCGGATGTCGATAGACGGTAAAAACCATTTGCGGTGTAAGTAATGCTTGAGAAACCTGCTAAGGACGGCAGCCATCGAATTAGTTATTAAAAAGGATCAAGTTGGCAGTGAAAAAGCTGTAAGTGTATCATGGATGTCGTGCGGGAGGGTTGTCCTATCGTCGGGGAGCAAAAATTTCCAAGAAGTGGTGCAGAAGCCTTGACAGATGAGAAAGGCACCACCACCAGAATAGATATAGAGGGTAAAGTATAACAACAAGGCTGGATGAACCCTAATTGCAGCAACTCTGGGAACCCTATATATGTACATGACTGGAGTGATGACTCCACAGTGTGTCCTCGCCTTCCCAAAGGATTTCTTCTGTCACTTTTCTAGTCTCAGAGAAACGTCGAAGAAAGGCAGAGGTGAAGGTAATGGGGAGTACACAAGGCCTTCTCAAAAAGGAGAAGTGTCCCCAGTTTCCTCCCCCAACCTCACCCCTTCGAATGGAATGCCGTTACATGGCCCATAGGATGAGAAAATCACTTTGAAACTCAGGTTCAAAACCTCAAGGAGCACCCTGGAAAGGAAGAACGATCAAGGCAATCATGAAGAACCTCACCGAAATCACGTTCTCAGTTAAAAAGTCACCTTGGATCGAGAAAAGCGACAACATCTAATAAGATCAGGCGATCTTGCGAATGCGAATGGCAGTGCGAATCAAGTGGTGAGAAGAGAAAAAATGTACTATCTCCCACCAGCGAGAGCCGACTTGAACTCTCAATTCCTATGGTAGCACACTTCTTGGAATACCGCTACTTGGGCCTCTGTTTTTGTTCCCAACAAAGCATTTCGAAATTGTTACATGACCATGCGAAAAGGCTTGCTTCAGTTACTGCAGAGTAATGTCATTAACTATTAGGGTGTTGTAGCGGACAGCATTCGTAGCAAATCTGCTCTACTTCGGAAGATATCGACTCTCCCAAGGCTAATGAACTCGTACTTTCTTAGGTGCATTTGGGGGAGCGGGCGTTAATCGATATTTGAGCCCACACTACGCCCTATTTAGAGTTTTTTGATTTGATAACGTCCTATGTGGCTTTCCAGGATCTACATATCATGATCGCAAAAAACCTTCAAAGATCTTTCACGGGAACCGTATTTTTAAAGTTTGAGGTCCCTTTAATTGGCTAACCGCCTGAGTTTCCCTCTATTCCCTAAGTTTAGTTCGAATAGTTACTGACTGTTATCCTTTAAGACCTCCTAACGAGTTGCACAATCCGTTTCTATCGGTCCTACTGTCCATAAAACAACTAAACGCTCTACTGTATAACTAAAATAACTGGTTAGTGCAAATCAGCAAAGAACCAGTTAAGGCTGTTAAGCGCTACAACAACGTGTTGTTTAACAAGTGTTGAAGATCTACGTTCGACTTAATATCGCATTAGATCGCTCCTGCTTTGAACAGGTCAGTGTAGAGTGGTGTTACAAATTGGTGACAAACTGGTTTTCTTCTTTATCTGCAGGATCAAGATATCTTTTACAAGCTAGTTGATAGGATC